CACACACACACACACACACACAATTGGATCATTTCTGAGTGGATTGCAAATGGAAATGCTTTAGACCGGGGCTTTCCAACAATAATCCAGCTGATATCAATATCTGGCTACAACCTCAGGCAACTGCACACAGAAAAGACAGGACGCAAAACATACAATCACGTAGCACACGTGCAACAGCAAACCACATTGCAAACAAATGTTCAGAGAAGGAAGCAGAGGTTTTTGTTGGGAGGCCTAAACTACTTTAAGTGACCCTGCGGTCTCCAGGGTGAGAGACAGAAGGACACAGAGCCTCCTCTAGACTAAAATGCAATCTCATCATCCCCACTGCTTTGACTTTGGGAGACCATCCAAATGATTAGCCATTACAGGGATTGTGTGCAATGTAGGCCACTTAACCTGATGAGACTCAGAGAGAGAAGACAGACAGAAACTGTATGCAGAAAAGGGGGCTGATGACATGGTATCTTTGTAAGTCACTGTCTGAAAACAAACCCCTCTTATTCTTCTGTCATCTTCTCCAACTGTCTCTTCATCCCTTCAGCATCTCTGTTCTCCCTAACCAAACCTGCTGGAAATTGCATTTAATGCTCCAGTTCCGGAGCTGTGGTGAACAGAGCTTTGCTCGTCTGTCCTCCAGGCGGAGATTTCACGCTCTGGAGACAACGTAGCTCATGGATAAAGCCACACTTGGTTGGTTGCTTTCTCCTTCAGGATGACGGTAAAAAGAAAAAAAAAGGAAGGGGGCGATATTTGTTCCCTTTAAATAGAAATAAACTGCTGGCCAACCACTCATGGAATCCAGCTTTACTATATTTACACATATAGTGACAGGGCTTATTTACCTCTGAAGAAGATAGCAGCCTTTATTTGAGGCAGGTTTTATCAGAAAACACCTTTATTTCTCATGCTGTGTGTTTTTAACTATAATTGGTCATATTTGACTACAAAGCCCTGTTGGCCTTTCTGCTCGGAGAGAGGCTACAGTGCGTGCTCCACAAAAACACACAGTGAGCAGAGCTGTGCAGATTCTAAACTGCTTTAAATCACAGCATTCTGTCAGGTAATACTGAATTGTCATGGAGAAGGCAAAGCAGCCCCTCCCTAGACAAGAGAAAGGACTGACACTGACTAATTACTGTGTTCTTCATTCTCTCTAAACTTCACTCAGAATTTTGATGTCAGGATTATTATTTATTTTACTGACATTACCAGAGAGATTATTAAATTAACAGCGACTCTTGTCTTGTGAGGATTTATTTTGCTGCTCCAGAGACAGTAATTAGTTGTAGTGTCAAATGCTTCAAAACATGATTTAAAAAACAATATATTATATCATGAAAATGTATATATTAAATATGATTAGGAAATGTATACAGCATATTTTTTTCCATAGCTTATTAAATAATATTATTTATCCTATTACTGAGTAATTGCTTGTGTCAAACAAACTGTATGTTCATCAGCGTGAGAATAAAAATGTGGCTTCCTGCATTGCAACATATACTGAAGATATTTGGTTCCTCTATTTATACAACAAACTACTACAAACTATACTAGTTGTGACGAGATACCTCTGGTTATATTCTCTCCACATTAGGCCCTCTCCATCTGTATGATGTGTATACTACACACACCAGTACTGTAGTCTTATAGAAGCAGATAGCAGTTACTACAGAATGCATAATATTTAAGCATCTGTAAGGTACTCACTGGCTTTAGTTCTGTTTGAGAAACATTGGACAAGCATCTTTACAACCACTACTACACTTTCTGCTGAGTGTGTTTTTTAAAACTGGAACCTGTCAGTGGACTAAAGGCATGCTTCCAACACACTGGCACTACACATCAGTCTGCTAAAGGAACTGCAGTACATACTACACTATTTTAGATCAAGACATAGTGTCCATGATGTCTATGTTTATTTGAAAATTACTGTCATATCAATATGCTTTTGGATTTAAAGATATGTTGTTTTATTAAAAATAAACCTTTATTGTGCTTTATTCTTTCAGAAAGGTGTTCTGAGATGTAAAGAGAAACATCAAATCCATTTCAGTATCTAATTATTATCTATTTTTAGGTTTACTGGTCGAGCAGTGTGTGACAGAATGCCGCTGATGTAAAGGATGTTGTGATCGTTGCACAGGAACGTGTTGCTACTGTGACAACAGGGTTAAACTCAACTGACCTTAAGTCATCTGTGATCAGTGACATAATGCAACTCCACAGCACAGATGGAGTAAGTTTGAACTCTATCGCTGTGACCTTGTTTATTCAAGCACAACATTACAACAGCATGTCAGATTGTTTAGTGGGCAGCTGCAGTCACTGTAAAATGATGTACCAATGCAGATCTTTGCTCTGCTTTAGTTCCATTAATACAGCAAACAACTGCTTTTCGCTATTAAATATATTCAGACTTTGTAATCTCAATATATTGCAATATGGGGCGGATTTAAAATGTCAGTGACTATAATGGAAAAAATGCATTAGCAACCATTGTAAGATGCACAATCCGTCTTGAGGAGCTAATGCTGTGCTTAGAATAGTAATGTTGCCATTTAAAGCACCTGAGTGGTTGTGACTCATTGCAGCTTCCTGTGCAGCTATGGAGGTTTTATCAATCGGCAGGATTAGCAGCATATGTTATCATCATCTAGGCTTTGTGCCTGTGTTGAACAGGGTACAGCCTTGACAAAGGATTGTGATCCTGTGAGCTACAGACTCCAGACCGTGACAATTGAGCTTGTTTCGCCCATCACACGTGGGAGATTAACCCACCCACCTGTATTTTGACAGCTATAGACAGGGAGTTCAGCTCTTTATCCAGTTCTTTGAGGACAACCAGCTTTTTCAGTGTGAGGCTGCAGAGCCTGTGGAAACGACAAAGAACAAGAGAAAGGGGGAGAAAAAGAAAAAAGATTAGCGGCATGACTAAACACACAATGTGAGCACACCTTCCTGACACGCTGTAACATCTGGGCATGAAAAGCATGGCTGACAGTATTCACATTTCACTTTTACTTGTGTCGTCTTCTTTTGGATTGAAGGTATGATAATAACAGGCAGCATTCTGTAATCAATAATTACTGCTGAGAAAGCGAGTGAATAATCAAAAGAGAAACATAGTAATCAAATCCTCTTCTAATCTATGACATTTTTTGAATGTTGATGATGCACCACATTGCTAAGAAAACGTCCTGTGAGCTTTGGGGGAAAATACTTCATGGAAAGAGACATAGATGAGGTATTGGACAAGCCACAATGCAGTGAAGTGTCCTCAGTAAGCCCTGTTTGAACACACGGCTACAAAATGTATTAAAAAGTTACGCGCAGAGACTTATGTAATTTACCGCCATCTGTTCGTTATTGAATAAAACAAGAAACATATTTACATACGCCTCAAACAAAGTTAAATACATATTTAATTTGACTGGGCTTTTTAATATTAGAGAGCTATCACTGGGATCTAGATTGGGTGAGGTGAGGTGTACAAAGACAGAGAAGACAGCAAATATACTATATTTGAACTATATTTGGACTTAGGTCCAAATATAGGTTTAGGTCAGCCTTGTATTACACAACCCTGAGGCTGAAAAATGGGATACAACTGACAGGACACACCTCAATCTCATACTTCTGTATGCCTTTGAACCTCTCTCCTCTCACATGCACCAAATCCCACCTTCTGTCTTTCTCCCCCCCCCCCCCACACACACAAACAACAAAAAGTAAAAAAACACCAAGGACATGTTTGCTAAACTTGTTTGACCCACTTTTCCCCACAGTCCTGTTGCATTAAGTTATGAGCAGTCTGAGCCAGATTCAGAGGGGTGGAAGATAGTCACAGCAAGCAAACAGCCTGTCATCCACTTTCCTTGAGAGACACTCACCCATGTCATTCAGTCACTCCCGGCTAGACAAGAATGATTCACAGATTAATCTTCTCAAAGCACAAAGGAAACTTTGAAACTTTAGTTTAACAGGCAGCAACAACAGGGTGCCCTATTTTGGGGCATAAGGGGAGCAAGGTTTTGTGAACATGTAGCATATTGCATGCAATATGCAACTTTGGCCATCAGAGGCTGCTGGTTTTTGATGTATTCTTAAAAATGTGTAATGTGAAAAATCAAAAGGTTAAAGAATGTTTTAATTTATACTTTTTCTAACTTTACTTTCTAAATGTTACTGTTTATTTAGCTGCATTTCTTGGTGATGTGATATCCTATACACAACTAAAAATTCAATAAATGCAAACATGAACATGATTTGTTTGAAAAGTTCTTGGTCAATCAAAGGTCAGGTCTGTTTCTTCAAAGTTCGGTGAAGCTTGACTCAGTACACAGAACGTCGAACTGGAGAATCAGCTGTCATTTCCATTGTCATGAACGTTCCATTATCGTGATCAATGTTGTCACTTATGATGATTAGTCCTAGCCTCCGCTCAAAATGTATTAATATTCAACATTTCATGTGTCAAAATGGACCAAATTTACCACTGCACTTCTTTGATGCCCCAGGAACACATACATTGAAGTAGATGGGATGTTTTGAAACAGGACAGTACAGACAGAGATCTCTCGTATTATAGTAATATATATGTTTGTTCCTACAGTGGGATACAAAAGTCTGAGACCAGTGGTCCCCACTGTAGTTTTTACTGTAAAAACATGGAGGGGAAACAGAAGGAAGCCATGAGAGGTTTATCCATGCAGCCAACAGAATGTGTCTTTAATGATGACAGTATAACAACAAGAATGAGCCAGGAACTTTGTGTTCCCGTGTTGACTCTCCCTTTGGCCCAAATAGGTGACAACATAATTTTACAGTGGGAATTCGAGCGTAAGTAGCGAATCCACTTGGCTGCACAAGTTACCTTAATGCGCTTGAATAACAAATGCAAATCTATTTGAGTCTGGAGTAATTAAATGCTGAACCTTGTAGGTAGCGCATGGATCCAGCTTGCCTTATGGTGAGGATGAGTCACCAGTCAGCTACAGCCTTGTCAGGGATAGAAAACAGAGCTAAGGGTTTAACAACATCTCTCTCTCTTTTTTCCCTCTGTAGACTGGGATTCACATGTAATTAAAAAGGCTGCAGGCGCTGAAGAGGTCACCTAGGGAACCAGGATTTTTTATTATTAGACAGAGGTGTTATCTCTACTCCTGCCTGCCACTGTGTTGTGTTGTAAGTAAAACCCGCTGCCATCTGTCCCGGCCTGGTACCAGTCTGTCCCTCCTCACCAGTGCCGGTTCACTTTGCCACCCAAACAGTGGCTGCAGTGACAAGCCAGGTGTCACAGAAAAGAGCTAAATCACTGTGCTGAAATGGCTGGCAGAGGCACACACTGGGTCAAGAATAAATCAGCTGGTTTTAGAAAGGACTGTCAGTATGGATATACTGTATAATTGTGATTACAGGAATATAGAGGGAGGGGGAGGTGTTATTTATGGAATTCTCTCCCCTTCACTCAGCAGACACTGGCACACACTCAAAAATTGATATAGGGGCTTGGAGAGGCCCCTCAAAAGATGCATTAATCCTCCATTTTGGCATGTCATTGCCACATTCCCAGAGTAAGCCTGGGGTGGGATCACAGCTCGCCTCACTGTGCAAAAAGAGGACGAAAACACAACAGTGTTATCAATCCACAGAGGAGGCCGCGTGGGTGGAGAATCTATAGAGCAGTCTCCAGTTCAATATTTCTGTGCAAAGGCGGTGGAAAGAGAAGATAAGTGATACCTGTTTTGCCTGTTCCCTGTTGATAAGGGCCCATGGGGGAAATCCCTCTTACAGTTTCAGTGCTCGGGCTTGCTGAGCCAACTCATCGCCTGCCAAGCTCTTCTGATTGGGTCATCATTGTTATAGACGTTATTGATCCTCACATGCACGCCATGTGAGGAGACTTTCTCTGTTTTGATCATACTCTAGACATGTCAGTGAGGAAAGAGAAACTTAACTTCACTGATTAGAGTTAAATCCACATGAAGACTATAAAAAGGTTTCAATATCTATACACTTTCTGCAAGTCTGTTCTATTAAACTGCAATCAATTTAGCTACTGTAAGTTTAATTGATTGGAGTGTAGAATAATAAAATCCTGGTTCCTCCTGATTGCATCTTAATATATTAAAGATGGCTGCATTTAAACAAATACAGAATGAAAGTATTTATCTTCCTTGTAAATAACTCAAACCACTATCATTATCAGTTTGTTGCTGATTTATATTATGTTGTTTGACAAATCAATTGATATATCAAACAAGCTTTGGCTTTTAAAGGTACAGTGTGTAGAAGCCTTTAATTGGCATAAAAACTCAAAAGGTGTTTAGTTTGTCCAGTCTGGACTAATATAAAATACATGGCGGCCTCCGTAGAGAGGGTCCCCTCGATATAAATATAAAGTATTTAAATATGAAGTATTTGAATATAAAGGGCCTTTTCTGGGGTAAAGAAAACTACAATTCATACAATTTAGATGAAACGAACTAGCATGAGGATTATTCTACACTGAATTTCTGTCAATAGTTCCCTTTCACCTAAATCTTACACACTGGACCTTAACACTGCCCTGCCTTCACACACGTTTAAACAACATTTAGAAAAAATTGTGTCACAGACATGGGATGTGCCGACTGTAAATTGGTGCAAGAATCAGAATCATACACTACCACAAGCTAATTTCCTGCAAATCGTTTTCTGGATGCCATCTTCTATTAATGGCATTGACATATAAAGCAACTGACACTAGTGTAATATCATTTCAGAATGAATAGCTATTGACCGCCCTGCAGGACGGTGCCCAGTAGGCGCCTGGATTCTCTGTAGCTAATAGCTTTAGCCTATATTGCATCAATCACAGCAGTACAAGTGGTGCTGCTCCATCTAAGCCCATTAGTGTGCTCAAGTCACTCACTGTACCGTCACTAACTGTTGACCTTTTCGGCCTATAAAGTAAAGTGAGGCCATTAGATTACAGGGCCATTTCCCCCTTTTCGATTACACACAGGCTGCTTCCTGTGACATACCAATATTACTGAGGAAATCAAAAGGAGGCTTTGTGTGAGACTTATACAGTGGAACTGACAAACTTTAACAGCTTCTCAACAGCTTCTCAAACATGTGTACAATACAACAAAAAGCTATTGCAACATAATTTTCTAATCTTTCATTTTACCTGAATATCAATGCATTATTAGGGGCTAGCCTAGGCACTATAAACACACAAGTTAGTAAATTAACGAACATCAATGCTCTGAAAATAAAATTGGCAGGAGGTTATAGCAGGTCTGGGCGATTTGGCCAAAAATAATATCAGGATAAAACGTTGCATATCAGTCGATATTGATAATTATCATGACAAATGTCACATTATTATTTCTTAGTTAGAGAGAGATTTTTTTAACTCTTTCTGAGCAGATAATGACAAACAATTGATTAACAGCAAAACATTTCACAAATCTGAGGTCAATCAACAATTTCTTAAACCTCATCAATGTGCAGAAGCAATATTTTAATATAGATTGGAGTTTTTTAAATATTTCTTATGATTAAAATTATATTGCTATAATTAGTGATATTATTTTATTGCCCTGCCCTACCTTATAGTGCTACATGAGTTAGGTCACCTTAAACCAATCATCATTTCTAAATGCTATTAGACAGCAAAGGAGGTGAGAACTACTGTTGAAGTAACTGTTATGAATGTTGGTCCATCTGTGGCTACACTCAAATCCTTTCACATTTATCTGCGCAGGACAAACAAAACAACTTATCAGGCAGTTCACTCAAACAGCCGTGGCCAAATATTTAGTTTCAGATAAGAGGCTTGTGATTGTGGGTAGCATGGCACTGCGTATTATCTTATCTTGGC